TGGTCAGAGAGGCAACCTGCAAGGAGGATGGCGAGATGAGGGTAGCCAAAGTCGAGGGTACAAAGCTGCCTCACCCACTAGAAAGCAAGCCTACGGGAACCTTAGAACGTAGGAAGAGAAGCCGGTCTGAATGATCAGGAGCAATGGGAAAGGTTACTACACCATCATCGAGGAGGATGAAGATGACGAACCACCAACAACCAAGAAGGAGATACCCGAGGTATGACTTTATGATATAATTTATTTAGTGTAGCCTAATCGCAACATGCAATAATAGCAAAGCACTTGTTTTCTTTTTCAAAAGAAAAGACAACCTACATCTAATGTATGATCAGTTCTCCTCGATATCAAATTCATGCTTATCTAGTCATTTCAGTTTTCTGATAAGAATCATGAGTAATGTTTCAACTAGTACTATTTCACAACATCGCAAAATGACGTCATAACAGTCTTACCATCACACAAAACTCCCACTGATGGGCATGACACAAAGGTAAAATATCCAACCACATCCCTTTAAACACAAACAAATAATTAGAAGAATACTTAATAACATGAGCATCTTCAGAAGTCGAAAGAAGATACCTTGGAATACTGCGATGAAGTCAGAGCACCTCTGAGGTGCATGATGGATTCCATCGACATTGTTAAGGAACCATTAGAGGAGATCAACCTAGCAACTGACAGAATAGACAAAAGACCCTTATATGTATCTGCCAAGCTAGCAGCCGAGGACAAAGGAAAACTCATTGCACTTCTAAAAGGTAAGGAAGTACCCTTATAGCAGAAACCTTAAAACCTGAAACCGGTTTGACCCACATTTCTCTCGTAGAATTTCAGGATGTATTCGCCTGGTCATACAACCAGATGCCAGGGTTAGATTTAGAGCTTGTCCGCCACTCCCTGTGCATAAATCCAAAATTCCGGCTAGACATCCTACCACCAGTAAACGAATCCCAATTAAAAACGTTCATAGGGAAAGTCTCATACTTGAGAAGGTTCACCCCTGGCCTTACGCACGCAAYGCTGCCATTAATGAAGCTAGTCAAGAAATCTATCGAATTCAAATGGACTCAAGAGCACCAAGAAACCTTTGAGTAGTTAAAAATGACACTGGTAAGGGCACCGATGATGTCACCACCCAAAGACGGGTGGGAATTCAGAATATACATCGCAATAGGAACAATGGCCATAGGACGCCTATTAGCACAGGAGGATGATAGCAAAGTGGAACTCCCTATTTATTACGCCAGTAGAACCCTCAAACCAGYAGAGAAGAGTTATTCCCACATGGAGCAACAGTGCCTGGCCTTGGTCTTTGCTACACAAAAAGTTAGACACTACATCCTTGGACAAAAGGTGAGGCTTATTGCACAAAATGTCCCAATCAAATTCTTCATGGACAAACCTTCCCTTTTTGGCAAACTTGTCAAATGGATGATGCAACTCAATGAGTACGCAATAAAGTACACACAACCCAGAGCTATCAAGTGTTACGCAGTAGCAGATCTATTGGCCACATTTCCATCGAACACTGATTTTCCTATATCGGATGAGGCCCCTGTAGACTCACCAATGGTCGCCCTAGCTGAAAGTAGAGAGTGGGTCCTAACCTTTGATGGGAGTAGTACGAGCACCTTGGCCAGCGTTGGAGTAACCCTAACCTCGCCTGACAGACAAACCTCCGCCTACTCATTTAAATTTCAGTTCCTCTGTTCTCACAACATAGTGGAATATGAAGCACTGGTCCTTGGTCTGGTCAAAGCAGAAATAGAAGCCGACACAAAGAAGATAAAGGTAATTGGCGATGCTAAATTGGTGATCGGATAGCTCGACGAAAGCATGGCGGTGAAAGAACTAACTATTCTACCATATAGGACCTTGATCCAGAAGCTAATCCAGAACCTAGACATAGACTTCAAACACTAGAATAGAGCTAAAAGTAGGTTTGTTGACGCATTAGCTACCTTAGGGTTCAAGATGCAAGCCGGCCCAGAGCCGATTGAGGTTATTATCCAATCAGTCGACAAATAATCGATTTCCACCCTGAAGAACCGGGTGGAAGAGGAGCATAAAATAGAAACAAATGATTAGAGGTACAAAGTAATACAAAAGCTAAAAAATTAGACTATGGGGACACAAGACATTAAGTTAATCATAAAGTACCAACTAGTGAACAGGGTGTTGTACCATAAAGAATTAGACGGTGTAAGGACAAGGTGCCTGGGCAAATTGGAAGCTGAAGTGGTGTTGAACGAAGTACACAAGGCTAGTTGTGAAGATTTCACAAGCACCCTATTCCGTAGATTGCAAAGATTAGGGTATTACTAGCCTACAATGAAGTAGGATTTTGCCAAGGTACAAAGAGAATGTGATAAATGCATCCCATAGACGGATGGCAAAGAATGTTTAGTAGTTTGTGAAAAAGCCTAGAGGAGAATGTACATAGACTATCTACAGGAGCACATGTTGCCCATTGACATTGCATTAGGGAGGAAGCTATTGTCTAAAGTCAAGCGATTCTACCTCCAAGATGGAGTACTGTATAGGAAATCGCACACAGGAAAACTTTTGCGATGTCTAACCGTTGATGAAATCGATGGAGTGTTGGAAGCAGCCCATAGTGCCGAACCTGTAGCTCATCAAGGTCAACTGGCACTATGCAATTACGTACTACACTTAGGGTTCTATTGGCCGACCATGATGGATGATATGCAGTGGCACATATGCAGATGTCACAAGTACCAAATCTACGGTGAAAGGATCCATAAGCCTGCCAACAGATTACTTCACTAAGTGGGCATTCTACACTTGGGGGGTAGACCTAATAGGCAAAATACAACCACCCTCTAGAGGAATCTGTTTCATCATCGTAGCCACAGATTACTTCACTAAGTGGGCAGAAGCCATCCCCCTGTGACGAGTCTGTGCAGCCAACATAACAATTTTTCTGAGACAAAACATAGTCCACAGATTCGGAGTACCGATGCGGATACTGACAGACAATGGCCTGCCCATAAAAAATCAAGAAGTCCGTGACCTCTTAGGGTAGTACGGTGCAAGACTAGGAATATCCACAACATATTACCCCTAGGGAAACGGTTAGGCAGAGGCCACAAACAAGACTTTACTAAGAATGTTGAGCAAAACAGTGGTTGATAATCAAAAGGACTAGGTAGATAAGCTGTAGGAAACCCTTTGGACTTATCGCACATCTATTAGGAAAAGTACACAAGTGACACCCTACTCCTTAGTCTTCGATCAAGAAGCAATGCTCCTAGTAGAGATAAAAGCTGTATCTGCCAGGGTAGCTTCCACGATCGGTAAGAAGATCAGGCCARCGGACTTAGATTCACTACATGTAGATAGACTCAAGGTAGTCGATGAAGTTAGAGACGCAGTTTCGCAGAAGTAGAGTAAGTACAAACAAGCCCTAGCCAATAACTTCAATAGACACTTGAAGCCTAGGAATTTCAAAGAGGGGGATAAAGTATTGAAGATGACTCTCAACGTTTGGCAAGGCAAGTCTATCGGAAAGTTTGCACCAACATGGGAGGGGCCATACTTAATAAAAGAAGCCCATAGTTCGGGCTACTATGCATTACAACTATGGACACAAGCGAAGACAATGAAACTATAAATGATTACTGGTTGAAACCTTACTTTGATTAGCTCTGTGTTTCTGAAATCACACGAATATATGTACATGTTTTATGAATAAATCTACATTGTTTTACAGGATTCTTTATTAGTCACTCTTTTGATCTACGATAAAGTCTAGAATTCTAATTACGTTGAAGCTGTCTTACTTTTCCCCCTTCAATTAAGATTACATACATTTGTACACTATGAAAGTAGCAAAATGAATGGTACAATCAGATTTACTTGCTTACACACATATCTTGTTCATGATTATACAATCGGATCTTGCAACCCTAGGGCATAGACAAGCCCTGGTAACCCCAGGCACAGTTAAAGCCCTGACAACCCCAGGCACAGATAAATCCCTAACAACCCTAGGCACAGATAATGCCTTAGTAACCCCAGGCACTGACAAGCCCTAACAACTCCAGGCACAGACAAAGCCCTGGTAACCCCAGGCACAAACAAAGCCCTGGTAACCCAGGCATAGACAAGCCCTGGCAACTCTAGGCACAGACGAAGCCTTGGTAACCTCAGGCACATACACACCTCCATGAAACTATTGGGGGGCTCCATTGATAGGAAGTATGACCCCTACCATATCCACAAACGAAGATACTCTATTTAATAGTAATAAATCCCCATCCCAGCACCAACAATGACACTCCACTTACATCCCCAAAATTTGGTTGCGATAAACCGAGTGTGCATGGCACAACTCATGAAGGACCTCACTCTTTTAAGATACGACAACACAGTCCTAGAAAGGATAATAAGATACGACAACCCATTTCCCCACGGTAGCCACAAGTCCATTTCAAGACATGGGCAAGTCTCACACTTTGCCTCTTATGCTTAGTGATCTTTTCATGCCTAATAACATTCTAACATAGGCACAATCCCCTAATTAACTACTTCGCATAAGGTTATTGGGGTCAACCCCCCTGATCGCGCCTCGGGGGTCAAACTCACAGCGTTCGTACCCCTGACGAATTGCAATAAGGCGACAATATGCCCGTACCCAATCACAGGAAAACCAAACGGAGGACTCGTCAACCAACACCTTCTGTCACACCGTTCCGTACAGGGGTCACCAAAGGCAATGTGTTGCGAATAGGTCTTTTATCGTTATTTGGGACACAATCTATGCCAACCAACGTGACAATATCTCACAAAAGCATCACTTAACTACCCAACGCATTGCGACATAGTATACTAAACTCGTGCCATGATATGTATAAACACACAGTGCGATTAATCTGAAACTTTTTTTTTTTTTGATATTGTCCAAAATAGGAAGTTTCTTTACATTACATAAATATTATGATTACAAAATTGCCAAATTAAAATCAAAATTGCCACACATGCACATTACATCGTAGAAGACCCCAGAATAGCCCATTACAATTCAGCACAATCAATGGTCACTTGGCCCACTCTTCGCGTATTGCAGATATACTCTCTAATACATGGTTAGTCTCTTCAAATTTCTTTAGATTATCCAACTCCACCTCACAATCTACTAAGATTTGCTTCTACTGCGTCCACTCATCCTCAAGGTTCTTAAGCTTATCCGCGACTCTAATAATGCTCGCTTTGACTACCTTCCAACATTGATGAGTGTCCTTCATTGAACGAAACAAATCAGATTGCGGTATGTCCCAACCAGCCTTCCAGAAGGCATGGTTTAATGTGACAACATGCTCTTCAATCTATGTCCTGAAGAAACCCATTGATGTAAAACCTCAGCAAGCCTCTAGCCAGGAAGCGAAGTCAGACCATGATATCTCCTCCGCCGGATGGGTCATCACCTGGTTCATCAGCATGGCAATGGTGTTTAACGCAGGGCTTAAGACCTCAGGATGCAGTATCCCCTTTGGCAGCCACCCAACGCGTATAGCAGTTGACACAAACTTTGCCACTATATTGGAAATATTGTAGTGAACACCCTTGCAATCACCCTGAACCACAACTGAGTTTATAACCGGGAAGTGAAGAGTCGGGATGTCATGATTATTGCATTATTCAAGGAGCTCCCACTATATCTGAACCAATTCCTCTTTACAAGTAAGCTCCTTGGGGGGGAAGACAATCCCAAGCTCTGCGACAATGGGGTCCTTAGGCTCAACAGTTGGATCAACCTCAAGCCTCACGTTAGTTTCTCCAGACTGGTCATGCATGTCTCCAGGGGAACCACCCATTACGATGGCAGATTCTAGCTCAATCGGAGCTTTACGCTTTGCAATCACAGGGGCTTCAACATCAGTAGTGATGGAAGTAGGAGATTTTGTACAACGTGTTGCCGATTCCACAGCCGGTTGATCAGCTTGATGCACCCCCTGCACAATAGCATCAGGGACGTTGTTGTCACCCTCAACGTCCTCAACAACTTCATAACTGGGACTAGGGGCTGCAGTGACCTTAGCTCCTTAGCCAAACGCTTGAAGAAAGGTGTGTCTAGCACCCCGGGGGGATACTCAAAGAAGGTTACCTACGATACAGTCATATACCAACAATCAGTCATAATGGCTCTGGCCGTGTGCCAAATAGTAAAAGAATAACGAAGAAAACAACATGACTTACCTTTGACCCGGCTCACCAACCCCCACAACACCTTTGCTGGACTGTGCCTCTTCGCAATCCACCTGCTTTAAAACAAAAGACTATTCAACCGTTAATCACCATTGTAAGCAATAAGCAGAACATTGTAACATAAACATAAGTGCTAAGTTACTCACCAAATCTATCCTATCAGGAGTTAGTTGGAACTCTCGTTGACTGCTCAGAGGGAACTACTGGAACTTCCATGTCCAGTTGGGCTCCATCACTCTCCACAGCCTATAAGAAGGATAGGCAAAAAGTGTTAGTTCAACCACATAGCAATAATACAACTCAGAAAGGAAAAGAGCACAATAGCAATAGTCATATACGGAATCATCATCCTCAGAACCCTATTTTGGGTGGGGAGGGGGGGGGGGCGCCATCTTCTTCTTACGACTGCTCGAAAATCTGATACAGGTGATTTTCCTAGCAGATGCTGTCACAACCAATTGCGCTGGCCCCACTACCGGTGAAGCTTCCCTTTCTGGAGGAGGTACTATAGATTCCTAGTCAACCTCCACTTGACGCCCCTGGGCCCGTGATGAAGCCTTGCCCGAGCCAATAGATACAAACCTCGACAGATTTGAATGAAGGGCCCTTGCTGTCCTTCGCTTCTTCACAAAAAGAGGGCAAACAGACTCCTCTTCCCCCAAAACAAGCCCTCTTCGGCTACGCTTGGCACCTCTCTTGACCTATGAGTGTAATGAAGTTGGAGACGACCTCCCGCCCAAGTTAGCAGCATACCCCTCAGGGGGTGCCAACACAAGGTGGAGGTGGGGGTTCACCCATATCAGCTCCTGAAARCCCCCAAAAATAGCGCAAAGATACACCAACCAAAGCGACTAGCACCCCTGAGCCCTGAAATATCCTACCATGGGAAGCCCCGACATGCCAGGAAAGGCGAGCTCATGATGCCAAGTCCAGAACACGTCCTCCCTTGAAGCCCTCAAAAACTAGGCACCCATATCGTCGTACCCAAATTGATGCAACACCCGATCAGGATGGTGTGCAACCAATTGTGTTTTGCCAGTGCGGTCAAGATAGGCCACTACACTAGGCTAGGCACCAACTGGGCCATACTAGCAAAGGGCGTCCCGATGTCCACAACACAATGTTGATCACCACCCTCTGGAATGAACATGCCAATATAGAATGGCATAGCATGCGGAATGACTCGAACATAGGACCGCCAAGTAAACCCATCGAGTGAAAGTCTGACATCGATGTCGCTTATATTGAACTCCTTGTGCCTGTCAGCCTGAAGCCAACATTTCCTGCGGTAGACATTGAACACCTTCTCCTCAAACGCGTCCCCTACCAATGTTGCCACAACAATGCGCATAGGAGAGAGCTCACGAGGTGTGACACTAAGACTGAAACGCTCGCACAAATACATCCACAGAAAAGGGGTGCAAATATAACTGACGTGGCATTTGCAATTTGGATCCATCATCTGGTGAACAGTATCATCCAGTTGTTCGTACAAGTATCCCAAAAACATAGATGCCAGAGGCAATTGGTGACCACTGGCAGCCAAAACGGCAAGAGGAACCAAAACTGTGCGCAACCCATAATTAGGGAGACCCAGGAAAAGAAACTAGGATGCCACATATAAAATATAGGTGGCAAGGTGGCATTGACTATCCGGTCCATGAACCGTCATGTCTCTCCCACCATGACATTCAAACCTATACTCCATCCATTGTTCCAGTGACAATTTACCCTGAGCAGAAGTTCTGTCTATTCGAGCTTTAAACGAAGAGACCTCCGCAAGAAGCTGGTTGCAGAGCTCCCTAAGATTATGGGGGATGGTCTCGATATGCTAGAGATGACGAGCAGAGACAAAACCCTCAATGGGCAATGCCAACAATGCATCCACGTCCTCCATGGTGATTGTGAACTCTCCAAATGCGCCAACAAATGTATGATTACAACAACACCAATGCTCCAATAGAGGCTTGACATACTTTACACCTTCCCGACCCCTAAGCCCGGTATAGCAGTCCACAAAACGAACAAGATCGACATCCTGTAGCTTCCTACAATACATAGGGTTTTCAAGAACAAACCGCGTCTAGGCACTGTAATTGGTCAGGGACTTCAAATTGTTAGCCCTTGGCTCTTGGCACTTGTAGGACATCGATGGGTTTGAGGGGCCACAAAGACACATTAAATCCGTGGCGTCGATGACATCAAACGAGCTACCTTTACCCCTATACACCGACATTGGGGGCCAAAACCCTTTCCCCCATCGACAGCCGCCACTACCTCCCTCTCCATTAGAAGTTCTGCAGTATTGACTTGCCTAACAAAATCAAGGAAGGGGCACTCAATCATCTTCCCCAGCTTCTTCACAGTCTTCTTCTCCTTCTAACTAGGAGCCATGACGAACAAACACTAGGAAAAGCAACACACGAAGCAAGGAGGAGAAAGTTTTTTTTTTTTTTTTTTTCCAGAAAGCAACCTAGGGCACAAAATACCTTGCAAAGACAGCCATAAGTGATAAAGAGAGAACATATGTGTGTTCCCCTCACACTATTATTATAACTGTCCAACATGTGCGGAACGCCGAATGGCACCGGAGAGGGTGAACAAGCGCTAGTACAAAACCCAAAATGATGTGTAGAAGAGATAACCATGGTAATTTACAAGAAACACCCTTTAAAAGTGGGACAAGATGGTGCATTTGTTCAAACCTAGTGCCATGTGTACTGCCGCCACTTTAATCATCAGGCCATGAAAAATCTCATACGAGCGGTYAGGTCCTATTAATTACCGCTTAATTAACGAAAATCCAGCTAATTATGCCCGCCACGCTAGCACTACCCAATAATCACCCCAACCTCATTGACGGCCTCGAACCGTAAAAAAAATAGGGTTTTTCGATTGAACGGCCTATGAGCCGCCCTGCAAGGGGGGCCCTACCCCTACCTAGCCACTAATAACGTAAACTCCCCCCTTTCCTACCAGTTAGAGAGGGACTAACGACAAAACTGGTACATCCAAAGTAGCTAGGGAGGCTGAAGCTTACAGATGGAAAATGTTAAAGGGGCTACAATATAAACAAGTCCACCCACTGGTAGAAACATCGCTCAATTTGCGATAAAGGTCACCACGCCCTTGGTATCACATGGTTATAACCGAATTCAACAGGCTTCATGGTTCTTTGCGATCAAGTCTTAAGATACAAAATAACGCAAACAACAATAAATTAATTACACAGGAAAATGGTAGTAGAAATCAAATATAGAATTTCATTTAGTACAAAMTAGACATGTACAAATCTCATAAAGCAGCCCACTCCTCCCTTATTGACACTATATTTTCCAGCAGTGACCTTCGAGCCTCAAACAACTTCAATTCTCCCATCTCTGCTTCATACTCTGCTACCAACTCGCGCTGATGAGCGCATTCAGCCATGGGGACCTCCAATTTCTTGGTAGCCTTAGTGAGTTTCGCTTTGGCTACCTCGATACAAAAACACACATCCCTCAAAGACCTGCCAAAAACTAGCGGCGACTCCCCAAGACCCGCCTTCCAAAACATGTGCTCTAGCAAGACGACATGCTCCTCAATACGCCCCACACGTAAACCAATAGCAACAAAATAGTCACAAGTCTCCAACCATTGCGCAAGTATGAACCATGATAGCTGATCGATAAGGAGATTCATGATATCATGCATCATCGTTGCAAGCGTATTTAAAGCCATACTGACAACGATAGACAAAAGCTCGAAGGRAGGTAACCAACCACCTTGAACTGTTGCCACTACGAATTTYGCCATAGACTTTGTCACCGAAAACTTGTCATTCTAATGGACGCCCTGGACAAGAACACAATCCACAACCTTGTACCCCAAAGGAGCTATGTTGTTCTTGTTACAATACTTCACAAGCAGCCCACAGACAAACACAAGCTCTGAATTGTTTGATAGTCTTGTAAGAGAGGATTCTTCYGGAGACGATGTTGTGGATCCAACAGCTTTGGCAACATCCATCATGCGGGGGACATCAAGAACCCCAACCTCGTCATGTTTCCTTTGTTGATCGAGAGCCATCGTTGAAAGCACGAACAGAGGAGGAATTGACAAACGTACACTAAAATGCAGTAGATGTAACAAGCAGACAAGAGCAAGTGGGCAAGACGAAAACTAATGATGCATATTGCCTTTTTTTAAAGCAAAACTCACCCCGCAGGGAGAAGAATTACAACCAAGTAGCGAGGAAGCCCAACCGGCATGCCTAGATGAAACATTACACAAAAGCGATTGGAAATAATCCACAAATGCACATTCCGAAAAGTGAGACACAATGATGCATTAATTGCAAACATAATGCGGCATTCGTTGCCACTATCTAGCTACAGAACATCCAAATGATGCACATGACATTCATTATACTACAACAAATGAGATAAATAATGATCAAAGCCGTAGCATGGTCATCACCCAACTTTTATTTGAATGCCCATTAATGGCAAATGATGACAACAGATAATTCACCTACCATCAACCAACACCATGCAATAAACACAAACACTTATACTATTAGGAAGGAGCACCTATGATAACTCTGTATTTTGATGCCTTAAGGGCATCATTTCAAAAGTATTTTTGGCCTTAGAATAGTAAAAATGTGCCATTTTCCTATTTAAATTCAATATTGTGACCTCTAAGGGTCACAGTGCAAATCCTAGGGAAAACTAGGGAAGTTTCAGGGCTGAAATGCAGATTTTGGGAAGCTGGTGTGAATTCCAACTAAGAGAGGGGGTGTTTCTGTGAAAAACTAAGCACAGGAGGGCGCTTTCTATCTGCCAAACCCAGATAGGCGCCCCTCCTATTGTATTAGCATACTCCCCTCTCCTTAGCAAACCCTAGTGCGCCTCGCCACTCATTCTTTTCACCTCTAACAAATCGTAACTACCCTAGGCTATCAAATCTCCACCCTCCACTCTCTCTAACCTCTAATCTCAACCCTCCAAGCCTTAACAGCCCCTCGTACCCTTAGGTCTCTCCCTATATAGCATCCTAGCCTTACACCTCACTCAAACCTCAACCAATCACCTTAGGGTGGCACATCGCACCAACTAATCACATTTCTCCAGCTCTAGGCGCTTAAATATGCTCCCTCCATTCCGAGCGCCCAAATCTCAGCCCTACATAATATTGAGTGCCCCGTCCTCCTCTTTTAGCCTTAGGATCTCCTTAGAACAATCCTAACCATCCATTCTCAACCC